AACCTCTGAGCACAGAAATCTATTTTGTTTGCAGGGAAAACACTTAATGCCAGTTCCCATCAGAATTTACAGAAGTGCCGACGGCATACACTACCATCTTGCTCTCAGTAATTCAGGTGTTGATCTGAAGTCGTGGGGAGATAAATATGAAGTCAGCTGGCCTGCGTTAAACCAGCTGTAGGGAACAGGCTCTGTGCAGAGGCAGTGGTTAATGGTGTTATGGTCTCTTTCAGAAATGGGATGCAATCAGAATATTCAAATCTGCCGAGGCCTTCTTCACCTCTATCGGCCTCTATGAAATGACTGAGGGCTTCTGGAATAACTCCATGCTCACAGAGCCGACCGACAACAGGAAGGTCGTCTGCCATCCTACAGCATGGGATATGGGGAAAAATGACTACAGGTACTGCAATTACTACGGACCCTTTTTATACCATCTCCTAAAACATTCATATTTTCACCAAAGGTGTACCGTGCTGGTTTAACTTATAATTTTTCCATATTTATTATTTTTTTCTGTCTGATAAGGGGGGAAAGAAAGACAAGACAGCAGGGGTCCTATGGGACTGTAAACCTTTCTGTGTAACTTATTCTGTGAAGACATAAGGTCTGCTCTCCAGTTTAAACAGAGAAGCGACTATTATTTATATGAATTAGAGAAATAATGCTTAAGGAATAAGCAGAAATGCAGGTGCTTGTGGATACCAGTGAGATTTGTGGACACCTGCATATTCTGCAGCAATGGCACAGGGTCCCTAGGTAGCAAGGAAAAAGGAAAGAAAGCTCCTGAGAGCCCACCAGCTATCTTTAGCATATACATCCAGGTTCATGAAAATCCATCAATCTCTTCCCTATGTGGGAAAGGAGAGGGACAACAAGTTCCCACACAATGAAGTCTCCTGGGGCAAGTTCTGTCCTCTCTTGCAGTCCCTGAAGTTACCTGGGGAAAGAGGCTTGTCCCCAGCAGAGACTTAGTGAAAGCTGCCAGCCTCACACCTCACACCTTGGCAGCCTGAGGAAGGTGAAAAGGAACCCTATTTGGAAGAAATTTCTTTATTAAATAGTATCTAGACAAGGATGAAGTAGCAGGAGTCACTGACAGACAGATTTTTTTACACTGCTATCTGCCTAGGTTTGATGGTGTGTAGTCACTCCAAAACACACGGTGAGTTATCGCCAAGTTTCAGAGAGCAGCTACTTCTCATGAAACAGCAATTTTCTCTTACTCCTAGCACAATTTCAAGGTGGCTGGAAGTGTTTTGCTGAGTTTCCCTCCAAGCCTCGCTCTTGCAGATGGAGCTGTTATGAATGTGGCATGTGCCCATGCGAGGATGTGGCTGAATGGGTTTGGCGAGGGGCAAGGGATGTTTGCAAGCTCTGGAGGCTGCTTTGCCCCACGGTTGCAGCAGGCAGGGCTTGGGCAGCAGCTGGCTGGGCCACTGTCTCTCTAACCACAAACACTTTGCTCTGGAGCGCAGGATCAAGATGTGCACCAAAGTGACCATGGACGACTTCCTGACCGCACACCACGAGATGGGCCACATCGAGTACGACATGGCATACTCTGTGCAGCCCTACCTGCTGAGAGATGGCGCCAACGAGGGCTTCCACGAAGCAGTAGGTGAAATTATGTCACTTTCTGCAGCCACTCCTCAGCACCTGAAGTCTCTCGACCTCCTAGAGCCAACTTTCCAAGAGGATGAAGGTAAATAAATGGATAAATATTATACATTTCAGTCAATACACTTGCAGGCCTTACTTTGCAGCAGAGGATCATGTCTGCAAGCTGAGTGAGCAGCTGAGAGGCTTCTGAAAATCCTACCCCACTGACTTAGCAGAAATACTATTTTTTTCCTAAATCACACCATGAAGCAAGAAATGCTACTTTATAATGCTGCTACTTAATTTAGAAACAAATAGCTAGCACTTAATTACTTTCAGCACTGAACAACTCATCCCAAAGTCTTCATAGTTCATTTGGGCAAGCCTCTAATAGTCTTTTCAATTTCTGTTGCATGAATCTGTACATATCTCTACCAAGGTATATATTTAGCAGTTGAAAACAAAGCCTTGAGATTTACATCGCCCAATTAAGTGAACATGGAGTACACAATGTAGGTAGGCCCTCATCACAATGCAGTTTGTCTGCCTTCTCTGAATATTACCTTATAAGAATGGAGATGCAGCAAAGTCCTCAGCTTAAAATTCCCCGGAGTCTGGGAAGGTTTTCAGTGGAGGATAATGACACATACATGCAAAAGGGTTAGTTTGTTTAAGCAGTCAAGGGAAAAGAAAGAGAGACAAAACTTTATACAATACTTAAGTGATCTTTTCTCATGTATTTTTTTCAGGAGTATTCTTCCTTCCACTTTTTCCTTAGTGAAAATCTGTAATTCAAGGCAGATGTAAGCATTAGCTGTAAAAGGAAGCAACTTTAGCTGTCTAATGAGATACTAATTGCTATCATAACCATTGCCTTAACTACTTCTCTCTTCAGAAACTGAAATCAACTTTCTGCTCAAACAAGCACTAACAATTGTTGGAACAATGCCTTTTACTTACATGCTGGAGAAGTGGAGGTGGATGGTGTTTAGGGGTGTTTTGAATGGACAAAGCGGTGGTGGGAGATGAAGTAAGTTGGAGAAACAACGCGGATGTTTTGCAAATGGTCCTGCAAAACCATTTCTTCCTAGTTACTCAGCATACTGTTGATCCTGTGCCCCTCCATAGTGCAGGGTCTGTCTCTACAAAGTCCAGTAAAGTGCCAGGTAGAAACACCCAACGTGGTGCAGACAAGGTCTCACAGGCCATGTATCCCCACTGACACTGTGTTCAGCCCTGGGTAGTTTACCCTGCCTCTTTCTCCTGATTTCTAGTGTCAACTTCTCTGATAAAGACAGTCCATGGCCTTTGCACGAGATGTTCCAGATCCCAGGATCAGCATTGCCATCCCTCTGACACATGCCCCAAGACATCTTTGTAGCTTAAGTACAGCACTTCCCTGAGTCCTATCAGGCGTATGCTTTGGTTTGCTCTCCAACTCCTTAAGGACAAGTGGAAAATGAAGTTTATCTACTCACCAGCCTGAGAAGCATACAGATCTCAATCTACCAAATATCTGTGCATACTTCTCTGCTTTGGTTTCCTCCCCATGCTAGAGTGGTTTTGGAAGCAAATTGTCTGAAAGACTCCAGACTGAGTCTTTCCTCTCATATGTATTGAAACCACCTTTCTTGGTCAAGAAAATATAGTTCCCTTGGCAAGTAACATACAGAAGTCCCTTTTCAGGTTATCCCCGCCAGCCAATCTATTTTCAGCTCCCTGGAGCTCAAGATTAAAAGCGGCTTGATTCAGACTGAAGTCTGTCATTTCCTAGGGTGGCTAACATGGGGGAAGAAAAATACAAAGAAACCAAACAAGCCCCACATTGAAAATGGAGTCAGCACTCTTAACACAAGCGCAAACAGTGAGTCTCCATCAGCAAACAAAATCTATAATAAAACTTGATATAAGCAAGCCTCCTGACCCACTGTAAAAATCAGTCAGCTTTGATTTATTCAAAAGTAGCAGAGATGTCAGGGAAATGGAGAATGACAAACTGTTTAGGGAAGCTTATCACGTCTGTTGTAGTGGCACTGCAAAGCTCTCTGCTGGAACAAGACCTTGAAATATAGTTTTACGGAAAATATTTCCATATAAGCTTATTACCATTTTCAGAAATTAGGGCCTGGGTTTGTTTCCATAGTACTGCTCAGGAAACATGCCCTCAGGAGAGGAAAATAAGAAGAAACCTCATCTTCAGCCCAGTGGCACAGCAGGCCATGCACCTTTTGGGTCACCCAATCTCTGCATGCCCTTACCCAGGGATGGGCCGGGGCATGAGGTGTGTGTGAAGCTCACGTCTTGTAGATTATTTCACACCACTCATAACACCCTGCATACCCTGCTATCATACAAAACCCTTCCTTGCACCATCAGTTTCAAAGCAGCTAGTTCTCTGTGATCACCAGCTGTGGAGCAGTACTCATTTGGGGTTACTGGGATCTGTGTATACTTTCTGTGTTTGGAAGTGAGAGAGGTGCCCATATGTATCAGACAATACAGAGGAAGAGCAGGGTCAGATTGATTTTTCTTATTATCTGTTAATGGAAATCCTGTGTTTTTCCTTCATCCCCAGGAGAGAAATAGTTGGTGTTGTTGAACCCGTCCCTCATGATGAAACCTATTGCGACCCTGCAGTGCTGTTTCATGTGGCCAATGATTACTCATTCATAAGGTAGCTCCATCCTTGCTCAGTGTTTAATTTATGATTTACATTTTGGGTACAGAACAATCCTTGACTACCTAAAACATCTACTGGAGAGTCTCAGCACACAATTTTATTTTGTCTAAAGTCCTGATGAAGGTCACTGATTTCAGTGGAAGTTTTTCTGTGGCCATCAGGGGCTTCTCCGTAGCAATCTCTGAGCAGCCCAGAGGCCAATGAGCTTCTTGTTGACCAGAGGAACTTTGTGCGGCCATCAAAACATCAGGAGCACATAGAATCATAGAATGATTAGGTTTGGAAGGGACCTTAAAGATCACCGAGTTCCAACCCCCCTGCCATGGGCAGGGACACCCTCCACAAGACCAGGTTGCTCAAAGCCTCATCCAGCCTGGCCTTGAACACCTCCAGGGATGGGGCATCCACAGCTTCTCTGGGCAACCTGTTCCAGTGTCTCACCACCCTCACAGTAAAAAATTTCTTCTTAATATCTAAGTAAATCTACCCTCTTTCAGCTTATAACCATTACCCCTTGTCCTCTCACTACACTCTCTGATAAAGAGCATTTCCCCATCCCTCCTGTAGGCCCACTTCAGGTACTGGTAGGCCGATAAATCTGTATGAGTTGGTTGCCTCTTGAGGAGACACCTGCCCCATACCACTGTCACTTGGGCCATGCACATGCAGCCCTGAAGCAACTCACTTTGGATGTCCTTCTGTGTCCCAGCTGCTTCATTTTAGAGACCTCAGCTGGAGCAGAGGGTTGGGCCTTAAAAACCTTACTCACTCCTGGTTTATGTGCCACCAAACAGATCTGGGGCTTTTCTGCTGCATTTGATCATGGCATTTTGTTAAATCTTCATTAATGTAGCCTATAAGTATCAGCTGGCCTCCCTCTGTGCAATGCAGCATCCCAGGCAGGAGCACCAGCTGACATAGCAGAGATTTCCAAAGGCTGAAGGCTTGGGTGTTTCCTTGACAGGTGACAAACAAAACCTGTGCCTTCCTTCTCCTTGCCCTTCCTTTAGGTATTACACCCGGACCATCTATCAGTTCCAGTTTCAGGAGGCACTTTGCAAGGCAGCTGGCCATACAGGCCCTCTTCACACATGTGATATTACCAACTCCACAGCAGCTGGTCAGAATTTAAGGTAAAAAAGCAAATTTCTTGTATGAAATAAATAACAAAGCCTAATTCATCCTTGAAAGCTTCTGGAGTCAATGAGATTGTACCAAGAATGAACTTAGACTGAAAATTTAGCATATGCCTCCTCAGTTTATTTGACAAGTTGACTAAATTTATATCAGCTGAGGATCTAAACATCAAAGGTTTAATTGTCTGTTAATGAGAAAATAATTTATTTTTATTAATGGGAATGATGGGAGGAAGGAGGGAATTCAAAAGCAAAAAAGAAAACTTTGATACCAGTCACAGATTGTTTTGCTAGATGTCTAGATGGAACATGGCAATAACATGTATTACCTCTCCTTCCACATACACAGACAACTGCTTGAATTAGGCAGATCCAAGCCCTGGACTCAAGCACTGGAAAGCATAACAGGAGAGAAATACATGAATGCAGCGCCCTTGCTCCACTACTTCGAGCCTCTATATCAGTGGCTGCAAAAAAACAATTCTGGCAGATACATTGGTTGGAAAACAAGCTGGGCTCCATGTACGTATGGCTTTTGGGTGAATTAAGGACACTCGTTAGTCTTCACAGCCACTGACCAGCAAAGTCCTTCTCTCTTGTAGCTGTTGAAGGCTCTTCTCCCTGTGGAAGCAGGGTTATGGGAAATACACACTAGCAGGAAGTTTTACTTTACCTTTGATCACTGTCAGTCCTGGAGAGTACTGTAACTCTTACAGTGCCGTGCCAGTCTCTCATGATGGGATTCACCTAGCCAGACACCAACATCCGCATGTGAGCTTGGAAAGAGGCACTTCCTTTGGGACACGTCTAAAGAAGACCAGAGGACTATACTCTTAGATGTGCTCTCTCTTTCTCTCTACTACAAAGCCAGACATGGGTGAGTGACAGCTCAGATGCAAATGTTTGCAGTAGCGATGGCTGAAGGGAAACAAGACCAATCCCACCAAGGTGGCCAGGGAGAGCAGTGGAGCCTGTAAGGAAACTCTAGCCATCCCAGCATTTCCCAGGGGCTAACTTTCTGTCACTGCAGCTCTAACACAGCCCGTGTTTCTTTTTAAACCAGATTTTAACAATGCCATCAAAGTGCGCATCAGCCTGAAGTCAGCACTGGGGGACGAGGCGGTAAGCGTGTTTGCACTGTGATGTTCTTTGTATTGTTCAGGCAGCAGAAACCTTGTGCTAATGGCTCTCAGAAAGTAAGGCAGGGTGTAGCTGATTTTTGTGTCTGAAGAGTGGCGTCAGCTCAGGTGAAGGGTTATCACATAAAAGATATCTCATCTGAGTTTGTGGTCAAGACTCCCTCTACAATTACTGGAAGGACCTCTCCAGGGAGTGATCCCACCCATTTTAAGAAAGATACCTTGGATAGATGAGTTGAGTTATTCCGTGGAGATACTGATCATGTTTTACCTGCTGCAGGACATGCCTGGAGGGCTAGCATAGGGGCACCTGTGTACCTGAAAATGGCTATATTTTACCCAGCTGTGCTAATGTGTCTAAATAAAGCTTCCACTATACATTTCTCCTAATTTCCCTCATCATGGCTACGGTGGCTGCCTTCAGTTACTAGAGTAGCTGCTTCACATTTAAATGTGAGGCTAAAGCAGCAGGGTTGAATCCCACCCCAGAGTAGCTGCTTCACATTTAAATGTGAGGGTAAAGCAGCAGGGTTGAATTCCACCCTCTATTCTCAGATTCTCTTGGTTTCATACTGAAACACTGCTGACAGCATTCTTTTGTAGATTTTTGTTTGCCTGTTTGCTGTAATCTTTCCAGGCCCTGATATATTCAGCTGCCTTTGTGCCCTCCAACCCTTATGTAGAGACAGTGTTGTTATTAAGATTGCGGGGAGGGGAGGGGTGGGCAGTACAGCTGCTTCTGTTTCAGATGAGGAGAAGGGCTTTCATTCCCAAGAGCTTGTCTACTTTTCCCAATTATACCAGCTGGTCCAATAAAACATATTACAGCAACGAACAAACTCATCAAAGCCAAAGACAGCTTTTAAGATTTTAAAGAGAGCATTGGCTTAGCCCATCTGTTTAACCCAGACACCCAGCTGAAAATTTGCTCCTTATTCTAGCTGTGCTTCTTTATGCTAATCTCACAGAGGCAGCATAAAAGGCTTAAGTGCAGACACTTCATTCCTGTTAATAGCCATTTTCACCTTGCAGAACATTAGTAATTTTCCAGGAATGAGTATGTCATCAGGCAGGTCATTTAGACTTGCGCATTAGAGCCTATTGGACTAGCAAGGACACAATACAGTGGGCTCATTTTTCATATGAATTGATGCTCTCACTTCTATCACTCTCTCACATGCAGGCCCCACTGAGGTTTTATTGCTTCCTGGACCACTGAGTCGAGTTAGATACAATTCAAAACTGATATCAAAAGCATGAAAAGGTTCCATATTACAACACATTTATTAGTCATTATGGTTAATGTTTAGCTTAATACCATCTTTATGCCTGCCTTTTGCCATCATAGTCTTTTGTTGTGCAATTGAGCAGGTGTGAAAAAATCTCATACAGATTACTTAATTTGAGTGATCGTATGGACAGTAGGTTCCTAAACTCTCAAGAGCAAGCCATGCATTTTCCTCTCAAAACCAGTCCACATCACCAATTTGCAAGAATCCTTTTCCATTCAGTAGCTTCCTGCCTCCCTACAGATTTCCCTTAAGCTGAGCGCCTGGGGACGTGACTCTGTATGCTGGTATGCCAGCAGCAGGTAATGTTGCATGCATGAACTGGCAGAGAGAAAAGGCAGGGGAACCTTGGGCAGGAATCTCAGCCCAGCTACACAGAGCAGTATGTTTTGGCTCCGTTATGCATCTCACAGTGGACAAAAGCCAGGAACACAGTGTAACTATTTGTTTAAAATGTATTTCAAGCTGCTTTGCACCATTAGTACAGCAGAAAGGATTCTGAGTATGCCAGCAAATCTTTTTGTATTTCTGCTCATTAGCGTTGGATAGAGTAGAGAGGGAAAGACCCCTGCTTCTGCAGAGGGAGCTTCCCTGGAGGGCAGCGGGCGCAGGTGCAGTGCATGAGGCAGCCTTGCAGCTCTCAGCTCTGTACCCTGGCTGTTACCAGCCAGCGAAGTTTCAGTAGGCCAAAAGGTCTGGCAAATTAAGCACCCAGACTCACGGATGGGCTTATGCCAGCCGTACCAGAGTGTGTGCTGCTGCAATTACCCTGCTAATTGTTTTCCGTCTGATGAGTTTAAAGCTGCAGCTGTAGCATCACTGGATCACCAGTGTAGCTGTTGAGGCTGAAACACCCACAGTGTTGCTTCAGCTCAGGCTTTATGAAAGTGCCCTTCCAAGGGAAACTGCTACAAGACCCCCACTGAATCATTCAGGATCTGCCTTAATTAAAATAAGGGGTTTGAGGAGTGTCAGTCCCTTGGCCACCACTTGAAAATGGCCACTTCTTCAAACATTAGTGCAAAATTCCCTGCTGGGTCAATGTCATGTGTGCAATTACACTGTAAAAGGCTGGCACGCAAGATGGGGTTAGGAAATGGAGAGCTGTCAGCCTGCAGGCATCTTGATATATTTTACAATGGAAAATCCTTTTTTGAATCAGAGGCCAGACTTGCACTGTGGGATCTTGGAGGGAATATGCTATAACAGAGCAGAGATGCTTGGCAAAGTTCATTTTGCTCTGAAAGCAAAGCAGCCTCTGTAACGAGCAGCAAGCACCAAGGCAGGTTTCTGAGATGCCTAGGGAAGGCGTGTGGGTAGTCATTACTCAAATACAGATCAGAAGCCAGCCAGGTACTTCCCATCCACACAGCCAGTAATGGTATTTTATAAAGGCACTTGAGAGGCACAGTGGCAATTAAAATACATTAGACTTAAAAGGACAAAATATACACCACGGAAACAAATAAATGATTAAAAAGCTAAGATGCTAAGTACAGAAAGCAGACATAGAAAAATCAAGCTCAATTAGCTCCAGGTTGAATTAAAAAAAAAAACAAAAAAACAACCCCAAAAACCCACAACACTGCAGAGCCTAAAGATGTTGGCAATACATGAAAAAATGAGAACTCCTGCACAGCAGCATCGTGGGCTGTGGTGGTGAACACTGCCAGCTGCTGGAGACAGCAGTGGAAACGAGATTCTTTGGCACAGGGCTTTGCCCGCTGCCCAGCAAGCAGGAGAATGCCAGGGGCATTTGCCAAGGACTTGCAGCTTCAGCCCTTGCTAGTGGGAACAGCTGGAGCTGGTGCAGCCCCTGCCCTCCACACGTGCACGGCTGGGCTCGGGGGAGCCCCTCTGCTAGCAGGGGCTTCGGGTCACCCGTGTGTTTAGTGGGATCTGAGCCTGCATGGGCTGGCAATTTTCCTCCTGTGTATTTCTCTCTCTTGGTTTTAGACCAGTGTCAGGAGGAGGACAGGGCTGAAAAATGTAGCTGGGTTTTGTAAAGCCTGTTCCAACAGAGCTGCTGTCTACCACACTTTCCCAAATGGTACTTGAGAAAGCCACGAGCTGTGTAAAACTGTCACTGGTAGCATTTATAGGCATTCATGCTCAGGTACAATAGACACAGTCAAATCTAGGCCTTCAGGGGATGAAAAAAAAATTGCCACAGAGTTCAAACGGGAATTTTCCCTTCATGCACATGTGGTGTTGCACAACAGAGCCAGCCGCGTTATCAGGTGGTTTTTGCCCCCTGTACAGCTCTCAGTTTCTGCCCCAGAGAAGCTGTTTTTGACTTCCACTGCAGGTAACTTTGGACTCATAAGGTAGGCCAGGAGGAGCCTCACACAAGCAGTGCATTATTTATATCACCTATCTATCTATTCTCCAAGGAAAAACAACAAATATACACCTACTGCAGACATACTGATGCAAAGAGATTTTTTATTACCAAAAGAAAATAAACCCCAAACAA